AGAGAAAATTTGCAAGACATCTTTTTTGTTTAGAATTGTCCAAAAAAGCTAAAAAAAATTTTTCCAGTGCAAAATAAACAATGTTTTCAATTTGTTTAAAAAATTTTGTTTATACATTTTTCCTACAACTTTGAAGTCTGGCAACATGCAAATTCGTTTTTAGGTGATCATTTTGCGTAAGATCATGCAAAAAAATCCTATCCAAATAATTTCTCCCACGAATTCCAGATTACGACCCGGACTATGTGTAATGCCATGTGGAACGCCATCAAGCATTATACATGAAATTTACCAACCAATTACCTGCATGGAATACCACATGGCTTTACACATGAGTTTTTTCGTGAGATTACACAAATAACTTACTGTGTAATTTCTAGTGGAATAACGTAATACCAGGCAGTAGGATGTAGCTATGAAAAATAGATGGATCCAGTAGGTGTTTACGACATACTATAGTGCGCAGAGCAGTTTTTTTTTCTTGTGGTATGCATTTTTAATATACCTGAAGGTACATTAAAAATTATCCATATTCATTGTAATATTATTTATATCATAATAAAAGTATGTACCAGTGTTAAAAAAATAAGTGACAGTTAATTAGGATACTGGTGCAGTGATGAATTGTTAATGTTGTTACTATTAATATCAAAAGTAACCTCAAAGTGGATCATGGATGACTTTGTTAAAAATATTTTAGTGAGTTGGAAATGATAATGTCTCACTAACGTTTTTTTATGAGAGTAAAATTATTCAATTACTTATTTATTTACATGAGATAATACCGTACTTAGTGTTCTTATAAACTTATACCTAACGCAGTAGAAGGAGATTTTACATAACATACTTAAGCGTAGGTTTTAGACAGACGTGGTACGGGAAAAAACCGTACCAAGCTATGAAAAACTCATAACTAAGTATAGTAGAGGATTTTCAATGAACTCGGTCTTTCCGTGTAGGTTTTAGACGGACCTGGTACGGGAAAAAACCTTAACAAGCTATTAAAAACTCGTAACTGAATGTAGTAGGGGATTTTCTATGAAAAAGGTCTTTCCGTGTGCACTTAGTGGACGTGAAGAAATCCCGCGGCCGTACATTTGTCGCTTTACGTCTTACTAAGCGGACGTAAACAACAAACTTTATTGTTGGGGGTAATGAAAAATAATTTTTTTTCGTGCATTCAGTGCCAAATATCCTGTGAAATTCTCACTACACCCTCCAGGCACTCCAGACTAAGGGACATGTTTTTCTGGTCAAGTCTGCTTATAGCTTCAATGCTGCAGTTACAGAAAGCACTCTTACACCTATCAAGTCGCGTGTGTTTATCCAAAAGCTTTTGTACGTAAAACCCTACTGGAATATAAAAAACTGGACGTTTTTGAATCAATTTCATATTTTTGAAAGTCAGAAATTGTATCCCATAAGACTGTTTCCAATTTTCCAATATTAATCTCTTATATGCAAAGCTGTTGCATGAAATATAAAAATAGGATATCATGATTTTGCATCCTGAATGTGTAATGTTTTACAATTTATTTAATAATTTATTTTATATTATGATACGTATTAAAACATTAGCAGTAAAAATTGTTTTTTAAAACAACATGAGAAAAAATGTATAATTGAAGAGACAAATAGTTTTTTTTTTTTTTAACTATGTAATATCATAATTTTGTTATTATTTACTACAAACTAAAGTTTATTGTGCATGTAATAAATTGAGATACATCAAACTTGCTTAGTTTTTTTCTTTTGTTAAAAGGTTAGTTTTGTCCAGATAGATTAAATTTAAGAGACTTAATTTCTATACACATTCGAGGAGTGCTCTCAGAGTAAAATGACTCCAAATTTCGCAGGCGACGTATATTCAAATTTTGAAATTTTATTTTGTTGAGTTGGTATACTCATAAGGGTGCATGGAAGTACATGGAAGACCTGCAGCTGTTTGGCAACTGCCAGTCAAAGCTCTCTGGTCTCATGAGAGTGAGAGAGAGAGGTTCATCACGTGACCACATTTAACCTTCTTCGGCTCGGGCCGCAAATCTCTCGGTTCGCAAACAAAGACTTTCCAAACTCGTAGGAGAACTACTATTTTGTGACAATATTTATTCATTTTTTTTTAACAATAAAATATTAGTTGTTATCTGTTTAAAACAAATTTTTGACACTGGAAATCGATACTTAACGTATCAAAAATTCATTGAAACCTCGATTAAAACTACAAAAAACAATTAGCAAAGTTTGCAGTACGTAACAGACTATGTAATCATGTTATCCAGCATCGCCTTCTTCTTGCCATGGAGGTGGCACTGTTTCAGATTACTGCACGTAGTGAATATTCACAGTTTCAACTACTTATATAGCTCATAGCATTCCTTATTTGTTTATAAGTAGCAGGAAAGGTTGAAAGTATTTGAAGTGCTCGACGAATTTTTTTTATCGAAAAAATGTAGCAGAGAGTTTAGATGAAATTTTGCGTTAAACATGAAGCCAAGTGGTCTTACACTTAAAATATTTACAGTGGCATACAGTGAGTCTACTTTGAGTAAGAAAAATGTGTAGAAGTGGTGTAAGCTGTTTCAAGAAGGCTGACAGGTTGTCGATTTACTCACCCTGGACGTCTCACTACGTCAACAACAGATGAAAACATCAAAGAAGTGAAGAAAAAATTGTTAAAGGATCGTCCAATTACCACTAGAGAAGTAGCTAATGATCTTGAAATCTTTTTTAACTTTTTCCTAGCAATTTTAACGGATGTTTTGGGCAAGAGTCGTGTGTCGGCTAAATTTTTATTCAAAGGTGTTGAATCACCCGCTCACATATCACGTTGCTTGTTTACGTATTTTTGGCAAAAAAAAAAAAAAAAAAACAATGTTATGATACCCCAGCCTTAATATTTTTTCCAAACAGGGCCTTGTATAACTCTTTCCTATTCCTAGCATTATAAAGACCCATGAAAGTATATCGATTTTTAAAGATTGAGGAATCAGGAGATAAAAACAGCATCACTGAAAAAAACACAAGGCTATACCACAAAATCATTATCGGTAATACTTCGAAAATTGGAAAAAGCATCAGCACAAATGTATTATATCAGAGAGGAAACATTTTGAAGACAAAATGAATATTGAATGAATAAAAATTATTTATCTACTTTAGCAAAGGTGCGTACTGTCTACTATATATTCAGAAAACATTCAAAATCTATCTTTTGAAGGGAGATGCCATTTATCTTTATAAGGAAAATGGCTTACAGGGTGCAGCCATATTGTCATGATTTTATTTGGGCTCTTATTGGCTGAGCTCATCTGCCTAGAGTTGGCTTTTACAAAATTAATCTATGTAGAGTTAATACTTTCTTTATCTACATAGAGTTTTTTTCTCAGTATCTGTAAAGTGGTTATGGTTGCGCAGCGGTAGAGTAGCAGTTTCGTCGACCTCCGAGGTTAAGCAGCATTTAGAATGGTTGGTTCTTAGATGGGCGACCGTTAAAGTTCTACGGTTTCATCTGTGCTGTTGATTTTCCAGGATTGAAAAACTGTATATATATATTCAAGAGATCATATTAAAAAAAAAATGAAGTATACATAAAAATACTTGTTTTTCGATATTTTAAAATTTGAGTATGCAAATATAAAGTGAAGTAAGTAGTAGCGTAGTTTCCAATAAAGCTTAATCTCTTTTTCAAACTTACTTCATAGCGCCCCTACGCAACTGGATCATAAAAATATTTAAAAAAATACGTTGGTTCTATTTTTAAGAAATCGCTCATCAGCAACTCTTACAGAATAAATAAAATTGAACTATTTTATTAACAATACATCTTGACATTAAAAAAATGTTTCTTACATTTTTTTATGATGTATTTGCGTATGTGTAAATGTATGATTTCATTAGTATCCGTGTATTTATGTGGAATGGAATACCTACTCATTTTTTACATTACTTTTTTGGCACTGTCTATTTTATCTTACAGCAACCAAAGATGGAACGCCTACTTATCTTTCAAAAGTAAAAAATGTATCACACAGTATTTTAATGCCAAAATTTCAAATAGATGTACAAACACACGTACGTGCTCCTACTCGTGGCATTCTTTTTCTTTACGCTAAGAAACCATCATTATAATAAGAAAAAAAGACTCATAAATCAAATCGATACTTTTAAAACGATTTAGCTCTATTATACTCTACTGCAACAGCGTGCAATTTTAGTTTATCACCTATATGGTGTATTCACCCTACTGGAAAAATATCATGTGATCACTCACGTGATTGTCTCACATGAAAAACCTTGTGAGATCTCACGTCAAATTCTTACATGATTTATCGAAAAAAGTTTATTTCAACACCAAAACTGGAGGACTAAAGTGGTTTACATGAAATTTAAAAAAATAAAAAATTTTTTTTAATGTTTCAAATGAAACATTTGAAATATTAAAACACATGGTAACATCAACTGTGATGAATAAATTTGGGTTCAATTATGTTTTAGACGATTATTTTTCAAAATAAAATTTTTTCAATTTATCATGTGAGGTTTTGTCGTGAGTTCTAACGTGAGAAATTCCATGATTTTTTTCAGTAGGGTGAGTATATCTATATCATCTTACCAATGTGCAGTGCAAAAATTTGCTTCCTAGATTAAGAAGAAATAGGTTTTTTAAGACATACGTTTGATGCAAAGCTCTCTACTTGACTACACACGTGCTTATAATGAAACAAAAAAAATTTTGTACATTCAACCCAGCTGTTCCAAAAAAAACTACTCTTATAGTTAAAATCTTCATCATTGACTTCAGTAACAAAGACTCAAAAGTACATTACTCACCACATGCCTCCTGTGCAGCCTTATTGAGGCTCTGCAGCCTGGCATCTTTAGCGGACTCTTTCAACATTTGCAGCAGAAGATCCTCCATGGCACAAAACGCAGCTGTCCCCACCAGATGCTTAACGAGAATCGTGGACTCGAATTTTTTTGACGTAAATAGTCAGCCAAGCAGCATTAATCAATAATACCAGTACCATCGTTGATGCTCACCAGCGAGCTTTCAAAGAGACATGCGCGTACGGCGTACCTATATACACGTAGACGTAGACGAGCTGGCATATCATAAGTATATTCGCTCTGAGGGTTGTCGTAGGGGGAATAAAATGTACAACAGTGCTTCGCATGTTGGCAGACGGTTTTAAGAAATGAGGACGCTAAATGCTTGTTCGGATAGGAGTTTGTTTTCAATGCCTCAGCACGCTCGTTTCTGTGTTGTAACTTATAAAAGTACGTGGCGATGTAGCTGAGTAAAATTTTTTTATTTTCCCCGTTCAAAAAAATTTTTACAAAATCTGATTATAAAATTTTAAGATTCTTCAACTTGTTGAATCGCAAAAAGTATTAAATACTGTGTCATTTCTTTTTCAACAACTTGGAATTATAATTTGTATGGAATTATCTTCTAAAAAGTATTGCTATATATGAAGTGTTGAATTTAATTGATTTTTAAAGATTTAATTTATTTTAATGACTTTGAAAAATACGTGCGTTTTTAGCGTGTAAGCAATTGCAATAACTTTATTATTTATAATCAAAAGTCTTTGGAATTTGGGTTATCTTAATGCTACGATTTTTCTACAAATTAAAAGAAAATAGCTGTTCTAGGGCCCTGAGGGGCTGATTTTTATTTTGTTGAGCGTCACTCCTTCAAAAACATTACCTTTTTTCAATTTTCAAATAAGTCAGATAAACAGTTGTTCTTCAACCCATCCAATTTTCAACTAAAATGAACTAGCCCCACTTATCATTTGGCTTTGATAAGATACTCGTACCTACATTTGATAGCGAGAATCATACGTAATGACGTCATTGGCATTGCACAGAGGCACACAGTTTTCATATTGATAAAAAAAAGTATCATATCGGAAACTATTTTTCCCAAAACATTATTTTTATTATTTGGGGTAGCTTACAATATAAATTAATTTAAAAAAAGATTTAACTTCAAAAAAAAATTTACAAAAGACTTATTCAACAAAATATGTCTATTGTAACAGTCACCATTTTAAAGCGGTTCTTTTATGATATGATTATGAACAGAATAATATAATACCTTGAGGAATTATGTATTAAGTTACAATATACTATCCACAAAATTTTAGAGTAGGCTGACGAATATAAACGCAAGAAAATGGTAAATTAAAAGTAAACTCCAAACACGTACTCTTATATGGCAACTAAGCATTCCTTTACTGAAAGTTGCAGCCTAATTATTTATTTACTGAACATAATTAAGTAAAAAACTGATACAACAAAGCTTACGTAATACTTAACGTACTGCCGTTTCGAAATATATATGTTCACGGACTAAATCAAAAGATTTTAAAATAGAACACAAGCATACATTTTTTTGTCTTATGTTAAAGGCATAGGAAAGCATCTACTGCTGGTATTTTGAGGTTAAGCGCCAATTTTACATAATCTGTGACCATCGGTCATTCTTATATAAAAAAAAAAAATAGTAAAATTGTTTTTTTTTTTTTTTTTGTAAAAACTGCTGTAATAATATTAAGAAATTTATCATGTAGTGTTTAAAGCTACCGCTAAAAAATAAAGTAGTATTGCGCATCGCAAAGTCCAAGCGTACTGGAAAAGAGACAATATCACACCACGAAAATCAACCGATAATAATGGTCTGCGAATCTTCCACGCCCGAAGCAATTACCGAGACGCCGAAAAACGAAGGTCTGCAGTATAAGCAAGAAGTAGCGATGCGAGATTCAGCTCTGGATCGTCTGCCTAGTAGGTCAATGGTACCTTGCTTCTCGGACTTCCAGACTAATCTCACACCTTACTACTGGCCTATAGCAACGTGCTTGGTGAAGCATTGGGTTTGAACCTTCCGCGTACGCATAACGCAAGTACTTATATTTTGTTTGTAAATTATTATGGAGAATGCAAGCAATCCATTTATAACTATTATTTAGTTATTATTATTTTATACCGTTGGCTTAACAATTGTACCGCGTAACATGACGATTATTAAGCCGTTCTAAGTCTATCTGCGAATGAGCATTTTATGCTGATATCGATATAATTTTGAGACGTCGGCTCTCTTGTGTGCTGTAGAATTGAATATACATGATTATTTCTACAAATATTGTTTACTGTAATTTATTCACTTATAAAACACTTTATAAATACTACGCCATCTCTTAAGATAATACAACCATGATGCCTAAAGGGCATGCATATGATCTACTGTAACGGCTTACCTTGATAGCAGATTTTTATTTTACGCTCTGGAAACACATCTGAATGGAGTTTCTCTTTAGGTATCACTTTATTTATTGAAAATGAATGGCACTCTGGTCCCTTTGTCAAGAAATTCAATAAGTATCAAGTGCACTTTTTTAGGTAAAAAAGTTGGAAGAAATACTATATATACATAGACAGTGAACAACAGATGACAACATGGCGTCCACATATTTACTAAATTTGGGTGGTAGAAAGACGAAATTAATCGATTTCGACTTTGAAAAGGTTAGATCATAAAATTTTTACTGCATGAAGACGAAACGATAGAATTTGGTCTTTTTAAAAGGCAAAGTTTTATAGTTTATACTTTACAAGAGAAAAAATATCAGTTAAGCCTTTGCAAAAAATTAATTCGGGTAATTTGTAAGTTTAAAAAGACAATAATAACAAATTTAATCTTTCTAAAATATAAAATTTTGATTTTATACTTTGCAAAGGAATTAAAGTCGATTTAGTCTTTTTAAAAGAATCAATTTTATGTTTTGGGAGTTTAAATTTGATACAACAGCTAATATTACAACAGCTTTTTTCAAAACAGTGTTTTAGTCCAGGGCAAATCGGAAATTGAACAGGAAAAATTATTCAGATAAAACTTTTTGAGGCTATCTCATTTAAAAAATGTGCTACTGTACATTAATAAGTATGTGTTGCCAGACCAAAATATGGTCAGGTATTGTTTCAACAAATTTTTCTTAAACGAATTTGTAACAATATTTTTTTAGTCATAGATACTTTCATATTCTTTGGCACATTTGAAAAACCTTTTTGGGATGCATATACCTAAACCCCACAGTATTTGAGTAAAAAGTTCTCAAATTATTAAAAAATGCGTTTTTTCCGATTTTTTATTCTCCATTATTACGACTTCCCTTTCTTTGAGTATAACCTCGGTTAATTAGTGGTGGTAACAATCGGCTAAGAATATTATTTGTACCGAGGAAACTCTAAGATTAGGAACCAACACACAAACAATTTTAGCGTTTATATGTCGGAGGGTGGGTTCGTTGCCCTGTGTAAAAGAGCGAAATTGCTGAGATTTCCGATTATATACAATATTTAAAATAATTATTAAGTTTCAAAATTTATTTGTTGAATAATCAATTAATTCCTGCACCATATACAGCAATTGTTTATTGATTATTACTTTATTGAATATTCCCTTACTTTAATCAATTTAATAATATCTTTTTTTAACTTATTCAATATTTTTCTAATCTAATATCTTTCTTTTTTATTTATTCCTGTCCCTTTTGGGGGTACAGATAATATTCTCAGTTTAAATAAACGATTTCAAATCTTAACAGCTATTTTTCTAGTTTTTATCTTAAACTATAAAAGGAACTCGCAATCTTATGTGGAGGGG